AGAATCCAATGATTGTCATTTTTATCTTTATCTAAAAATAAATTTGAGATTTCTAATTGTTTTAGAATATGAGTCTTCTAAAATAAATACATATACACATGTGTATCACTCCTCTTTTTGTATTTTCATATTTCTAGTTTGTTTTTTCTGGACAATTTTTTGATTTTTAAAAGAATTTCTTCATTTGAAAGTCAATGACTGAGAAGAAGAGATAGATATATGGAAATCTTTTATCATAGGTTCATTTCTCAAATAGCCATATGCCCAGGGCTGAGCCATGCCAAAGCCAGGAGTCTGGAACTCCATCCAAGTCTCTTACAAGGTTGGCACTGACCAAGAACTTGTGCCATTTTGCCCCCTTTTTAGGCACATTAACAGGGAACTGAAATGTAAACACTGTACATGGGACTAAAACTGACAATGGTGTTGACTTAACCTGTTGTACCATAACACCAGCTCTAATTATTTTTTCATTTTTTAATCTTTTGAATTATTTTTTTCTTGATTTATGCTTATAGGCACTTAAAGACCGAAGTTTTAACATCTATACTTCTCTGATACCCTGTTTTGTGGACCTTCTATGCTTTTGCAAGTAAAACAGAAAGAAGTGAGATTGTACTTCTTCGTCAGGGTCTCCATAATATATTGTTCCACATGGGATAATCTCTCATAGTTATGTACTTTGGAATTCCAAGGTCAAAGTGTAGATTTGGTTTCTTCTGAAGCCTCTTCCCCTATTTTCAAATCAGCCACCAATTTGCTATGTGCTCACATGTTACTTCCTCTGTCCTTGTGTATCCTTAATATGTTTTTTTAAAGGTTTTATTTAGTTTATATAAATTTTATAGGTACAACTTTTGGAGTATAGTGATTCCTTCCCCCATACTCACCATTCCACCCTCAAACCATTACCCTCCCACTCCCTCTCCCATCCCATTCTTCTTTTTTTTTTTTTTTTTTTGACAGGCAGAGTGGACAGTGAGAGAGAGAGAGACAGAGAGAAAGGTCTTCCTTTGCCGTTGGTTTACCCGATCCGATGGCAGGAGCCAGGAGCCAGGTGCTTTTCCTGGTCTCCCATGGGGTGCAGGGCCCAAGCACCTGGGCCATCCTCCACTGCACTCCCTGGCCATAGCAGAGAGCTGGCCTGGAAGAGGGGCAACCGGGACAGAATCCGGCGCCCCGACCGGGACTAGAACCCGGTGTGCTGGCGCCGCTAGGCGGAGGATTAGCCTAGTGAGCCACGGCGCCAGCCCTCCCATCCCATTCTTCATTAGGTTTCATTTTTAATTATATACAGACCAACTCTATACTAAGTAAAGATTTCAACCATTCACACCCACACAGACACACAAACTATAAAGTACTGTTTGAAGACTAGTTTTACTGTTAATTCTCATAGTACAACTCATTAAGGACAAAGGTCCTACATGGGGAATAAGTGCACAGTGACTCTTGTTGTTGATTTAACAATTGTCACCCTTATTTATGACGTCAGTGATCACCTGTGTCAATGTCTTGCAGCGCTTCTCCAATGTTCTCTAATAATCTGATGGTGTCAGATCATAGATTTAGATCTTTAATCCATGTTGAGTGGATTTTTTGTAAAGCGTAAGGTAGGGTTCTTGCTTCATACTTCTGCATGTGGAAATCCAGTTTTCCCAGTTCCATTTGTTGAATAGATTGTCCTTGCTCCAGGAATTGAAGATTTTTGTGTCTCTGTTCATCACAGAAATTGATCCGTAATTCTCTTTCTCTGTTGCATCCTTTTCAGGTTTAGAAATTAAGGTGATGCTGGCTTCATAGAAAGAATTTGGGAGGATTTCCTCTATTTCAATTGTTTTGAATAGCTTGAGAAGAATTGGAGTTAGTTCTTTAAATGTCTGGTAGAATTCAGCAGTGAATCCATCCTGTCCTGGGCTTTTCTTTGTTAATAGGGATTTTATTACTGATTCAATTTCTGTCTTGTCTATGGGTCTACTTAGGTTTTCCATGTCTTCATGCCTCAATTTAGGTAGGTTTTATGTGTCCAGGAATCTACCCATTTCTGCTAGATTTCCCACTTTGTTGGCATACAACTCTTTGTAGTAATTTCTGCTGACTATTTCTGTGGTGCCAGTTGTTACATTCCTTTTTCATCTCCACTGTTATTGATTTGGGTCTTCTCTTTTTGCTTAGTTGGACCAATGGTGTATCAATTTTGTTTATTCAAAAAACCAGCTCTTCTTTTGTTGATCTTTTATATTGTTTTTGGGATTCAATTTTGTTGATTTCTTTCTCTAACTTTAATTTTTTCTTCTACTAGCTTTAGTCCAAGTGAGAGTGTGCCAAACTGTACATCTCATCCCTATCTTATTCCCACTCTTATTTTTAACAGGGATCAATTTTCAGTTGGATTCAAACTCATAAGAATAATTTTGTGTTAATTAAAGAGTTCAACCAATGATATTAAGTAGAAAAAGAAAATACTATAAAGAATAAAATAGTAAGCTCTTCCTCAACAGTCAGTACAAGGGCTGATCCAGTCATTGTTTCTCATACTGTCAGTTTCACTTTTACAGGTTTCCTGTAGAGTTGGATCAATGGATATCAAGTGTCCCTGAGATCACGGCCATCTAATTGGATGATATGGGGACAGAGGGCTTGGGTCATCACCCATGCTCCTACTGGAGCCTAGGGCTTAGCCCATAGAAAGGAAACAGGGGATTGAGTCATGAACCACATCTACTATTCTGGAAAAAGAGTCCATAGTGGCACCAAGCTACAGGGAGTTGTGCCTGGTACCAGGACTTTGAGATGAAGTAGAGGGGAACCACAGTGGAGGTCACTGTGACAATTTCCCATTCCACATATTACTTCAGAATTTGAAAGGCCATTGTGTGAATGGAGATCTTGAAGTGTTTGCTGGAGTGGAAGGAGATCCAAGTGTGTGTTTTGTGACTGGCTGAAACCCAGGAACCCAAGGCAGTTCAGAGATCCCTGAAGGGGCAGCAAAGTCACTGGGGGATCCTGAATCTGAGTCATGGCACCAATGTAAGACAGCCACAAAACACACCAAACCAGAGTTAGAGGAAAGTTTTCTTGTTGGATGGGGGAAACCTGGTGGGCTGGATGGAGAGAGCAAGAGGGTGAGAGGAGGGGAAGGTAAGAGAGAGATCAAGAGAGAGCGCTCTCCACTTTTTTTTTTTAAACTATCTTCCCCTAGACTAAACCAGTAAGTTCCCTCCCTATTCTGCCATCTTGGATCTCTGATTTCTATGTCTAAATATTTAACCACAAATTTTTAAAAAGATTTATTTATTTTATTTGAAAGGCAGAGTTATGAAGATGCAGATATAGAGGCAGAAAGATAAGTCTTTCACCCACTGGTTCATGGCCCAGATGGTCACAATGACCAGAACTGTGCTGATCCAATGCCAGGAGCCAGGAGCCAAGGGATTCTTCTGGGTCTCTCACATGAGTGCAGGGTCCCAAGAACTTGGGCCATCTTCTGCTGCTTTCCCAGGCTTTAGCTGGTAGCATGATCAAAAATGGAAGAGCCCGGACTGTAACTGGTGCCCATATGGGATGCTGGCTCTGCAGCACCACTATGCCACAGCACCAGCCCCCCACCATTTATAATTTTAATGATTTTGTGTCCATTTTAAATTTAACATGACTGAAGTTGAATATTTTCATCTGTTTATTGTTCATAGTCCTTGCCTATTTTTCTGCTGGACTACAGACCTTTTCTATTTTTAACTATTAAACACTTTATTTACTAACGACATTAAGATTTTGACTAAACTAAATTAACTGTGTTATCTCAAAAATGATAAAATATTAAGTTAATGAAAAAATAATAAAGAATATGAATAGACATTTTTATAGAAGAAATACAAATGGCCTACAGACACAGGAAAAGTGCTTAAGAGAATTAGAAATCTGGAATATTCAAATGAAAATTACAATAAGGCATCATCTTATTCCAGATAGAATGGCTATTATACAAAAGAGTAATAAAAAGCTAATGTTTATTTATATGTGAGGAAAAGGGAACACTATTACCCTGCTGGTGAAAATACAAATCAATAATCCTGTTATGGAAAACACTGTTGAGATTCATCAAGAAACAACAACAACAAAAAAGAATCTAACACAGGTCCTAGCTATCCCACTCCTGGGAATATATCCACAGGCAATTAAGCCAGCATATGAAAGAGATTCCTGTATTACCATGTTTATTGCAGCCAAATTCAAAATTACAAAAATGTGGAATCAACCTAGACATTCATCAATTGATGATTGGATAAAGAAGATGTGGTATTTATATATAAACTGTTATTACCCATGAAAAAGAATTAAATCCTGATGTTTGCAATAAGAATGGAATTTAAGATGATTACACTAACTGAAATAGTCCAGAAATATGATGACAAATATAACATTTTCTCCCACATGTGTAAAATTAATAGATACATGTATAAAAATGTGTGGATGTCTGAATATTTAATATATGGCTATAATTCCTCACTAAATTATACATTCCACACAATAACATACTTCTCATTTCTCTCTTTGTGATCACTGTCATGAATTTCATGTTACATGATATTCACATCTTTGGAAGAAATGTAGTATGTGTATTTATGCAATATCTACACATGTAGTAAGTGAATATGGAGAAGTGTTAAAATTTTTAAATTTAAAAATAAATAAGTGCAATTTTAAAAATAAGCTATATTTTTAGAAAAAGTAAACGAGAGTGGCCAATACTGTAGCACAGTGAGTAAAGCTGACACCTGCAGTGGCAGCATATCATATGGGCACTGGTTTGAGTCCTGGCTATTCCACTTCCCATCCAGCTTTCTTTTGTTGCCTGGAAAAGCAGTAGAAGATGGCCCAAGTCCTTGGGCCTCTGCATCCACTGAGAGACCCAGAAGAAGCTTCTGGCTCCTGTCTTTGGATCAGTGCAGTTCTGGCCATAGCAGCCATCTGGGGTTGGACCAGCTGATGTAATACTGACTCTCTCTCTCTCTCTCTCTCTCTCTCTCTCTCTCTCTCTCTCTCAGCCTCTCTGTAATTCTGCCTTTCAAATAACTAAGGAATAAGTGTTTTTTTAAAAAAAAAAAAAGTAAAGAGGCCAGCACCACAGCTCACTTGGCTGATCCTCTACCTGCGGCGCAGGCACCCCAGATTCTAGTCCCAGTTGGGACACTGGATTCCGTCCCAGTTGCTCCTCTTCCATTCCAGCTCTCTGCTGTGGCCCAGGAAAGCAGTGGAGGATGGCCCAGATGCTTGGGCCCTGCACCTTCATGGGAGACCAGCGGGAGGAACCTGGCTCCTGGCTTCACATTGGTGCAGTGTGCCAGCCCGTGGTGGCCATTTGAGGGGTGAATCAATGAAAGGAAGACCTTTCTCTCTGTCTCTCTCTCTCTCACTGTCTAACTCTGCCTGTCAAAAAAAAGTAAACAAGATTGAATTTCAAAAACAAAGATGGATTGAGAGAGGAATAGAAAGTGCCATAATAAAATTTTTGTAGATAGTGGGTGTATACATTATTTTGATTGTGGTAATGATGTAATTCTGTATAGATGAGGGGTTTTCAAAATGCCCATAAAACATCTACTACAAAAAACATGGATTTCAAATTTTGGAACCAAATAAGCTCATCTTTTAGTTCCATTTTCATGAAGTTTTTAGAAATTATCAGCTTTCAAAATTAACATATAGTTGATTATATGTCAATTATTTCACAACAGAGATGTAAAATTAAACTAAAATATAAAAATGGTTTTAAATTTTCATTTAAGGTGAAAAAATTTAATATATTTCATATATACAGATTTAGGAACACAGTGATACTTCCCACCCTACACAATCTCCTGGCAATGCTCCCATTCTTACTGCTCCCTCCTTTCTTATTCCCTCTTTTACTTTTTACAATGAACTACTTTCAGTTTACTTTATACTCAAAAGATTAACTCTACTAAGAGTTCAACATGTAGTGAGAGGGAAAATAATCTTCAACATTGGAAAAGAATGCCACACGCCTTGGAAAAGTCTCAATAACTTAAGTGCATTGATTTTCTACAAACTAATCAATAGCAAAATCCAAGCAGAGCATAGAATTCCAGTAAAAATTCAAATAGGAATTATTAGCAATTCAATTGATAAGCCGAAAACTAAAATAGCTTTATGTAAGAGCAAATGACCCAACGTGACAATGACACTTCTGAAACAAAGCATAATAAACATATATGTTATGCATCACCAGTCAAGAGTTACCATACATTCATAATACACATGGGATTCTTACAGATATTGAAGTTGAAATAGAAAACTCAGCAGTAAAACAGAATAAATTAGTCAGAAAATAAACCCTTTAATATATGGCAAGTTTGTATATATAGCAAAAATAACAGGGTAGATAGTTGGAGAAAGAAATATTGTTTACTGTATGTAGTAATGATGAAAGCAAAAAGGGTAATGTAAATCAAACAAAATGGCCTTTACTACACACTATGCAAACAGCAATGACATCATAAATAAGAGTGTCATTTTTTAAATCAACAACAGAAGTCACTGTGCACTTGCTCCCCATGTAGGTAGGACCTCTGTTCTTGTTGAGTTATACTATGAGAATTAGTGGGAAAACTTGTCTTCAAACAGTACTTTATACTTTGTGTAGGAGGGTGTAAACTGTTGAAATCTTTACTTAGTATAGATTTGGTCTTCTGTATATAAAGATAATTAAAATGAATCTTAATGAAGAGTGGGATGGGAATAAGGGTGGGAAGGTGGGTATGGAGGGAAGAACTGCTATATTCCTAAAGCTATACCTATGAAATTTGTATTTATAAATAAAAGCTTTCAAAAAGTATTAAAAAATTGAAAATAAAATATATAAGAACTCACTTATTTAAAATGGGTTAGACAGAAATTAAGAGCTATAAGTATGATTATTTTTAAAAGGATATGTAAAATCAGCAAACTATGCTCCCAGGTTAAGAATGTAGAAAAAGCTAGGAAAAGTAATGGCAAAACAAAGAGCATGAAGAAACAATGAGTGCAAAGGGAAAAGATGCTCTGGTGCTTTACAGTTGCTGTTAGGACACATGGAGCAGGTACAGTGGCATATGGGAAATGACACTCTGCCCATTAATATGCTCTTTTCTGTACTAAGCCACAACTCTTGGTTCCTTCATGTGTTCCATTGCACTCAATCACTTCTACCCCTTCTGTGGACCATTGAATGCTGCCGCTACTGCCATATTGTACCTAGAGGGCACGTACTCTATTTACTGAGCCCATGTAAGGGCCAGCCAAGACATTATCACCAACTTCCTCTTGGTCACAATTTTCTAAGATCTGATTGGTTTTCTGGGTGCAGATATACAGGGTATAGACCATACTGCATTTGCGGATTTCAAGACTGGATCAACAGGATTCTGGAAGGATATTTGGGATCTTGGGTCACAGAAAAACAACTGCATTATTCACCATCCAGCTCACAACTTTTACATCAGCAAAATAATCTCCATAGCTCCGGTCTGTAGAACCAGTAACACAAGGGATCCAGACAGAAACTCAATGTGTGACTTAAAAAGAAGCAAGGAAATTCAAACTCCAGTCCAACCTTATGAGTAGTAACATAACAAAGCAAGCAGCAAACAAGTGAGTGTATATCCACCCAATGGATGCTCCCTGTACAAGTGGGGTTGTGTGGTGGAATGGGAAGGCCGTGCCAAGATGGCCGCTGGCAGGCAAGCATCAGTTACTCAGGAAATGGCTTCAGAACCCACCTGGCAAAGGAGCCTGCCTGGCCATAGGCAGTGATTTAAGGCATAAACCGCCCCTTGACTGGATTGGCTGCCTTGGCTATAAGCTGCTGTACCAACTGAAATAAATGACTCTGCAGGCTGCTCACTTCTAGCCCAGTTTCACTCTACTCTGTGTCTGTCATGACTCCACGCCTCTTGCCCCAACCATGCTCCTCCTCTCAGAACAAATCCACTGCCATTGTGTCCTAGGATTTTTCACAAATTTGCAAGATGTTTGCTTTGATTTTTTTGTTGCTTTCTGCAGCCGTATTGCCTTGTGATGTGTCATAATGATCCCAACTGCTTTCTCAAAATGGAATGCATTTTTTACAAGGATACTGATACTGTGATTGTTGCATTTTTCCCCATTTACACATACCTCATTGATAGAATCATTAATATTTTCAATAAGAATCTCACATTCTAAGGGTAAGTTCTCTTTGCTGTAATCATTTTCCCATAAGTCACATATTAGCCTCTTGTTATATGGTCTGCAGATGGGTGGACAAACGCATTCTGTGTCCCTCCCTGTCCATCTTATGTCCCTCCTAAAAACTGCTGAAAATTGATTTGGGAATGATGAAGACATTTCTTTCTTGTCTGGCACCCTTAATGGGTCAGGGAAAGGTGGTCTCATCAGAGGAAAGTCTCGTTGTTCTTCCTGTCCTTCCTAGTCCATGTTTATCAGCTCAGTGGACTACTGTGCTCAGCAGACTTTCAGAAACAGTGCACCAAAATGAGCAAACTTGGGTTAACATGAGCTCTTCTACATGTGCTCACAAACTTTTCTGTTATGTACCGGATTTGGGGCCATGAGAACACTTTATTTCTCCTACAGTCCTGAAGAAAATATAAAGTTTTTGCTAGTACCTAGTAATCATAGGGTAACACCTCTGCAAAAATATAATATTAAATATATTTTAATGGTGAGTGTGACCCATGTGAACTCTAATGATTTGAAAATACAAAATTCAGGTTGAGTCACTGATTCTGTCTTTTCAAGACAAGAATAGATATTGCAGAAGAGGTATTATTATGTCTCTACCCCTCCTTAACAGGTTTTCTTTTTGTAGCTAAATATAAATGTTTCAAATATATGTATACATACATATATATGAAAATTTCATGCCTACAGAATATTGTATCTTGTAGGATGGCATAATAGTTTTCTGCACACCTGTTGTTGAAAGTACTCATTTTCTAATTGGTTTCTACTGTAATTCAACAGGAAGTAGGATGACACTGCATAGATCTTTGATGGGTAGGTATTAGGACATAGATCATTGCATTATCATTAAAGCCAGTGGATTAGAGAAGTATACTTGGTGCTACCAAGGTGATGCCATTGATTACATATTTTAGGCATTTGTCCAAAGATCACTGCAGAAATAATTTAATGGATACTAGCTCAGTTTAACAATATTCTCTTCACATTTTTATAAATTGCCCTAATTTGATATGCACACGTCATCCCATCTATGAAGTATTAGTAGTAGTGGGATTCCTCATGGCTATGCATGCAGTATATCATTTAAGTGCACCCTGAAATGATGGAGACCAGGAGATAGTGAATTCCCAGGAGCAGGAAAAGCTTCTATGAATAGGGCCCAGATTCCTGCCACATGAATACCATGCAAACTGGAGCTCATGAGTCTCAGCAAACCCAAGAGAAAACAATTACTTATGACACTTGAAAAAGCAAGCAATATTAACAATAATCTTAGACACTATACCCTCCACCGTTAGATTCACCAACTTTAGAATATACAGTAATTAGTGATAAACTGTTGGAGATAGGGAACACAGTATAAAACACATCAAAAAGGGCAACTCTCAAAAATGTTCAGTGTGCCAAAAAACCTTCCAGACCTTTTGATACCAGAAGGGAGCTGGAGGATGAAATGAACAGGATGAGGACTGGAGGAAAGAGTAGAAGAATGAGGAGAAGAATAGGTACATATTAAGTACAAAACTGAAAATTATTTGATCCCTTTAGCAAGGATCTTCAAAATTCCTCGTTCTACATAAAAAATGTGAATGAGATATTTGGATAACAAATATGTATAGAAGCTATATATATATAAACTATACCAGCTGTATATATGGTTATAGACAACTATTTATAAATAAAATATACATACTTATGCAACATAAACCAAAAAATGAAAAACTATCATTTCCTCTGGAGCACACAGTGACAATCAACAGGCAGTCAACATGACCTAGTCTGTTCATCAATACTGAAAATACAGGACATCTGAAAAAACTGAAAGGGGCTCGCCTTGCTTCTTGCTGAAGTGTCAGACCCCAGAAATAGAAATGCATGGTGTCCTTTTCATGGAAGACTACTTATGTTCAATTCCGTAGGGCAAATTGAGTGAAAAAGGCTAGTTTGAACTAAGTACTGATACCAGTGGGAATAATTTACTTTAACATATGCTTAGTATTCTGAATGGATGACTGCCTTAATTGCAAAGCATCATGTGACTTGCAGTCCAGTGTTTCAAGTCCACTCAGTGAATGTTTCATGTTTTTCTATAAAGTGTTCTTTGCTTTTCCTGTTCTTTCAAGCTGTGATGTGATTTTATTTTCCTGGCTTGTGATGGATGCTGATGGGTAAGTTTGATGGGGCAGAAATTTAAATGCCAGGCTTCAACTCTACCATTCTCAGTGCATTTTCTTGCTTCTAAATTTCATTACAATAGGATTTGAGGTTTGCATCTTATTAGTGCTTCAAAGATCCCCAGGGGTCCTGCTTGAGGTAATGAGCTGTTTGCAATGTGTATAAATGAAGGTAGAAGAAATGACTTTCTGGATAATCATCTTGATGAGACATAGAAAAGGAGAAAATACAGCTAGATAATCCTACATCACATTTGCAGTCAAGTAACCAAGGAATGGCTATGCCATCTTGGCAAAGTTTCCATGCTGAGTGGGTATGTGCTGAAACCTGAGCTGAAAGCACATGTAATCAGAACCCAGAAAAGACTTGGAAAATAGGGAAGAGAAGTGAACACAAAGTTTAGTAAAACTGAGTGTCACCTTGGTGGTGGTGGTGGGGGGGGCTTAAAAAAACACCGTATCATTGCAATGTCAAAATAATACAAGACAGTATATTTATGAACTGGTTCCTGTTACAGGAGAAATCCTGTGGCTAAACTGAATTAACTGTCTCCAAGTAATAAAGAATTAAAGAGAGGTAGAAAAGGGAAATGGTGAAAGTAAGATTTAGAGGGATGGTACACACACAGGCAGGGTTATGGGAAACCTCTTATGAGAACTGCAATTTCTAAAATTATTGTCCTTTTTATTGGATGTGTGTTGCATATGAGCCAACACATAGTTGAATATTCAATTAGGGCAGAGTTTGGGGGCAGGACATGAGTAATACCCACTCTGCTGTTCCTTTTAAGGAATTCTCGGTGATAGCCTCAGGTGCACAAGTGGCTGGGGACACACATTAAAATTTAGAAAATGTCATGGCATCTGATACATGATGGTAAATGAGCCTCTGGTGCCTGATGGTGAGTGGGTTGGCCAATATCCTCTTGGATATTTCTAGCCAGTGCAATCCCAATAGCTAAACATAACAGGTATTTAGGTTGTGGAAGGTGTGAACACGAGGCTGCTAGCAATCCTGTTTCTACTGCTAACTAGTTCCTTGTATATTTCACCCCCAAATAATTCAATAAAATAAGAGGTAACAACAATGCCAGGTGAATCTAAGCATGTGGGAACTCAATTACAAACATCAATGCACCACAGAAGACTGGATGGAAAATCCCAGGAATATGTAAAAATAGCATGAAATCAATCCTGGGAAGACTGCCACCAGAACACTCTGCACAGATCCCCTCCTCACCTGATAAAAAGATTTTGGGTAATCTAGGAAAATCCAGATTTTGACAGAGATAAATCTAGGGTTCTCATTAGTATAGATGTCACCAGAAACTAATCCCCTACAAAATACTCATCATCCAGGACTGAGAGAACAGTTTCACGGTTTGCAACAAAAGCTTGGCTGTAATCACACCACTATTTTGTGCTACAATAATGAGGCAAAAGGAATCATGGGAATAAACAAAACCACTACAGCAAATAATTTTATAATCAAGGAAGATAGTATTTCAAATGTTCCTGACTAAATTGTTAACGTTTATGTAACTATATAACTCATTTACATAGCCCAAATCACTATAAAGGTACATCAAAGAGAAAAAGATTCTGAATACATAGTCCTTCTGTCATACAGCATTATTCCATCATGTGAATTCAATGCCTGCTGATGTTTCCAGTAGTGTTTCTCTACATTTTCACAGTGCTTTCCATAATTCTGCTTTTTGTTGAAGTTTGCCTTATAAGAAAGGTTTTTATAGTTCCACTACATTCACAGGATTTTCCCTCTATGTGGGTTTTCTGATACATTGTTAAAATGATTTATGGTAAAGATTTCTGACAATGCATGTTCTTATCACTAAGTCCTTTGATGTGTGAAGAATGAATTATGGTAAAAATATTTTTATACTCATTATACAGGCTGTTATTTTTTCTTTGTATGAGTTTCTAATACCTCCTGAAGAATAACTTCTGGTAAAAATGGTTTTTATTTTTTCTGACCCAGTGCATACAAAATGCCCCCTCCTCCTTTGTGAATTCTTTGCCTATTGAGAGTGTTAACTTCAGGAAAATGTTTTTCTATATTCATAAGTGCTGTTCCCTGTACAAAATCCTCAGATATGCAATGAGGACTGACTTCTGAGACTTTTTCATAATCATTACATTAAGCTTCCTCTCCTGTGTGAATTATCTAGTGCATAATGTGTAACTGCCAACAAAAGCTTTTCCACACTGATTAATGTTTCTCCCCTGTGTAAATTCTGTGGTGTTAGGAGTTACTACTTCTGGCAAAACTTTTCCACTTTGATCACATTTACAATATTTCCTCTCCATGTGTGAATTCTCTGATGTTTATTAAGGTATGACATTCGCCAAAAGGTTTTCCCACACTCATTACATTCATAAGGCTTCTCTGCTGTATGAGTTCTTTGATGTTTAATGAGGATTGATATATGGCCAAAGGCTTTTCCACACTCATTACATTGATAAGGTTTCTCCCCTGTGTGAATTCTCTGATGTGTTTTGAGGTCTGACTTTCTCCAAAAGGCCTTTCCACATTCACTGCAGTCGTAAGGTTTCTCCCCTGTGTGAATTCTCTGATGAGCTTTGAGGTGTGACTTTTGGCCAAAGGCTTTTCCACATTCATTATAGTCATAAGGTTTCTCCCTTGTGTGTATTCTCTGATGTTTGATGAGGTCTGACTTCAGTCGGAAGGCTTTTCCACAGTCATGACATTCATAAATTTTCTCCCCTGTGTGAATTCTCTGATGTGTTATGAGGTGTGACATCTGGCCAAATGCTTTTCCACACTCATTACATTCATAGGGTTCCTCCCCTGTGTGAATTCTGATGTGTTGAGGTGTGACTTCTGGCAAAAGGCTTTTCCACATTCATTGCATTCATAAGGCTGTTCTCCTGTATGAATTCTCTGATGTGTAATGGGGATTGATTTATGACAAAAGGCTTTACCACATTCATTACATTCATACGGTTTCTCCCCTGTGTGAATTCTCTGATGTGTTATGAGATGTGACTTCCGACAGAAGGCTTTTTCACATTTATCACATTCATAAGATTTCTCACCTATGTGAATTCTCTGATTTCTAGTGATGTCTGAAATTAGGTAAATGGTTTTTCCACATTCATTGCACCAAAAGGGCTTTTGCCCTGTGTGAGTTCTGGGAAGGATGTTAAGGCAGGATTTACAACTGAAAGATTTTCCACAGGGTTTACACACATGGGCTTTTTTTCCTGTATATGTTCTCTGATTTATTGTAAGATCTGATTTACATGTTCTAATCTCATTTTCAACAGATTCACAGAGTTTCTGTCTTGTGTGGCTTCACTGATGCTTACTGAGGTTATCATTTTTATGTAAAGTTTTCTTTTCTATCTGAGTTGTGTTTCCAACAAAGACAGTTGATTTAATACAGGGTTCTTCTAAATGAACCTTCTCAAATGAAAAGAGTATCTCTTCCTTCTGAAGGCTTAACCTTGTCCATTCCGTTCAAGTGGCCACTGCATAGTCTGAATCTTGTTATGCTGACAAAGAAGCTCGCAGCATGGGGCAGAATTCCCAGGTACATTAGGGACATCAGATTTCTCTCCAGTTTCCATCACATCAGACCCACTAGGGAGATACACATTTTGGAATATATTGCATGCCTTGTGTTTCATTCCTGAACAACTTCCCCTTTTTATAATAAGTTTTGGAATATGGCTTGAGCTTAAATGAACTGCTTCTTTAAATTCAACTCCCTTGTGAACTGATGTGTTATTGTTTATGATTGTATCTTGATTCAAACTTATGTCTGTCTTCATTTTCCTGATTGGTCCCAATTAAGCCATCCATTTTCTGGGCAACTGAAATGAGAAAACAACCATATTCATGGACCACATGTAAGTATTTCTTCTGAAATGCTCATATAGTGGCAATGAAAGTATTTAATATCGTAATGGCGTAAGATTTTAGCATATCACTAAAAATATTTATTGATGATAGTTTTCCTTAATACATTAATAAAATAAATAGTTAACATATTTCTCAATGTTCAATCATGCTTTTTTTACTACCATAAATATTTTAAGTGTGTGGCAGAATGGGTGATGTTGTAAGGTAAGTTAAGTCACTGACTGGAATGCCTACATCCCAACACAGTCCAAATTTTACTCATGGGTAGTCTGCTTTCTGTACAGCTTTCTGCCAAGCTATCATGGGAGGCAGAAGATGATGATTTCTAATGCTCTGGACACTGTCATACACTTGAGAGACCCAGATGGAATTCCATGCTTTTGCCTTCAGCCTCATCCATCCATAACTCTTGGAAGTATTTGTGGAATGCGTATGTAAATAGAAGACCTGTGTTTGTGTATGTGTCTCCTTCTCTCATGATCTCTTTGATCTTCTTGAACATGAAAATATCTGAGATATTAATGAATGGAATGGTGAAACACTTAGTAAATACATTTACCCACTGACTAGCTGCAACAAAACATGGAATGCTTTCCACCAGTTAATTTCTCCCTGTCCTTTTTCTATAACTTTTTTTTCTTTTTATAAAAACTGTGCTTTGTGCTTCTCAACTGAACTTTCAGTCTTAACAATGGGCATATTCTAATGGATCATTTACTTGAAGATGGATTTATGTCTGTCCCCTATGCAGGATCACAGTTTAGAAATAGGACTTGAATCTATGGTTGTCCCCTGTTCAGTCTTCCCAGGGGAATGGTATTTGTGGGGTTTTTCTAAATGCAAAAAATATCCTTTTATCTAAACACCATGACAGTTTTACTCATACTCCTAAAGAAACCCAATATCTTCAGCTTCTCAGAACCACAATAGGTACAAAAGACCAAAAAAAGTCCAATATATCATCCTGCATATGCGCTCCAAATAATTTAAGGGATTTCTTTCTGTAGCTCAGGTTGTGTTCAGCTTCTTGGAAAAGTGTTTTCTAACACATGCTGATATCAACAGCCCTTTCTGCTTTAAATTCTTGGTACACACTCCTGCTTGATAATTTGAGTTTCTGAATGCTTTTTGATTTCTGTTTTGAAGGATCATTTGTCTCCTACTTACATGGAAAACTGAGTCTTCTATGTCGTTCACACAGGTCTATTGTTCATTTAAAGCTGCTGAAAAAGGGAGAATTCAAACTATTCCCAAAGAAATCTGAGCTATTCAACTTGAAGCCTTGTGTTTCATTGACCTTGGGAAGCAGAATCTCTTGATTCTCTTAATGAGTTTAGGGCCACCTATTTCCATGTTCCTATGCTGGGGGTCCTGCTTAACTTCATGATTTCTGATGTCAGAGGATAGCTGATTGCTCTTGAATATCTTTTATCATTTTATTTATTCATTCAATCATTTGAGAGTCAGAGAGACAAAGAGAAAGAGAGAGCACCTATCAAACGGTTCATTCCTCAAATGTCTGCAGCAATCATTTTATTATTGATTTGAGAGAGAAAGAGATAAATAGAGTTCACATTCATTGGTTAAATCTTGAAATCTTTGCAAAAGCAAGCTCTGTGCTCAATCAAAACCAAGAACAGGAACCAGCAGTAAGAAACCATACCTATGAGCTTTCCAATAACCAAATGTTAAGGGAATTAATAAACACATGATCAAAATACATAAAGAAAAATCAGTGTGAAAATGGAGGAAAAAAAAAGTTAGAACAGACTTAGTACAGCAAGAAAGGGGCTGGATTTCTTTCACATCAAAGAAGATATTCATCAAGAGAACAAGAGGTAGAGAGATGTACACAGGAGAACCTGCCCTGGAGACTATAGAATGACCATGTCTAATGCATGAAACCCACTGAACTCAGAAGGCTGAGACTTGGAGAAAACTAGCAACAAGTTCTTGTCAATATTTGCTTCATTCATTCTGTCCCAGGTACTATACCCAGAATATGCTGACTGACCTGATAGGCGCCAGTTTAGCGGTTTTTCCACCACACATGGCTCTGCACCATCTTCTAACCTGAAGATTAACTCAGATTTGGTAATGCAGTATCCTGTTAATGAGAAATAATGTAAGATTTTGTCAAATAACTTAAAGGTTATTTGAAGAAGAACATTAGCTTTGCACAGGAGCTGTGCAACAGAAGTGCCGATTTGAATCCTTTCCTGGGGGAGAGATATTCAGATTCTTCATGGACTCAGATTCTATATATACCCAGCATTAAACCTTACAAAGTTTTCATGTATTTAACAAACCAGAAGAAAATGTTCCAACTGAGCAAATAAGGGAAGTATCACTCACCCAAGGACACCAGGCAGTTATAGGTCTCTAGCATCACATGCCTGTACAGGATTCTCTGAGCAACAATCAGGTCCTGCCATTCCTCCCAGGTGAAGTCCACAGCTAGGTCTTTGAATGACACCAACACTTGAAACGTCATATTTCTCCTAAACATATCAGCTGTACCCAAAAGCAGAGATAGGGAGTGTATTCTTCTGTGTGCATCTTATGTGCCTCTGAAATAAAATGCAGCCAACTTTATAATATGAACGCAATAGAAGGAAACCACTATGAAAATATCTTGCTCAATATTAACTTTATTTCAAAATCACTACAATAAATTTTATCTGGAACTGATCTTTCTGCTATTGATTCTGAAAGGATCTCACAGTGTAGTCTATAGATGCAAGTATAAACACATGACTGAAACAGCATGTAAAAGAAACTACAGGAGAATATGTTCAACATCAATCAGGGTAAAAGAAAACTTTTTAAAAGATTTTTCTGTATCAGCAGGCTGCAGTTCACTGAAATGCCAAAGTTGGTTAGACCTTCTGCATGAGTATGTTCTCACGAATATGATACAACACAAATCAGATGGTAATAGCACAAAGAACAAAGGCCAGGTAATGGGGATACAAACTGCACCACCTCTAAGTGAGTGATCCCAGGCTGTGAGTGGTGTTCACATGGGCAGTGAAGCTGCACAAGGAACTGATAATCTTTATTTACATGCTTGAAAGAATTCAACAATAAAAATGTATGGGTTCACACCAGTGCCGTGGCTCACTAGGGTAATCCTCCACCTTGCGGCACCGGTACACCAGGTTCTAGTCCCGGTCGGGGTGCTGGATTCTGTCCCGGTTGCCCCTCTTCCAGGCCAGCTCTCTGCTATGGCCAGGGAGTGCACTGGAGGATGGCCCAAGTGCTTGGGCCCTGCACCCCATGGGAGACCAGGATAAGTACTTGGCTCCTGCCATCAGATCGGTGTGGTGCACCAGTCGCAGCGTGCCAGCTGCAGTGGCCATTGGAGGGTGAACCAACGGCAAAAGGAAGACCTTTCTCTCTGTCTCTCTCTTTGACTGTCCATTCTGCCTGTCAAAAAAAAAAAATGTATGGGCTATTTTTGTAAAGTTATTTATCAAATATTTTCATAAGCATATTCATATTTCCTCCAATAATCAAAATTATTATTTTTCACATAAAAATGATTGCTCACATCCTAAAGCACAGAGTGTAAATTATAGGTAACCAATAAAATCTGGTTATTACTTGAAAAGAATTATATTTTAAATGTCATCCCAGGGAGGCAATGGGGTAAGCACTATATGGTAAACAGAGGGAAGACACCACAGTGAGACATGATTATTTACCATCGGGACACAGAGCAGTAAGAAGGCAGAACAGAACAGTCACTATACATATGAAAAAGGGAACAAGAAGCAAGAACAGAACTCACTATTAATTTGTTGTGAAGCAAGTGAAATACGGAGTTTATTTCCATATCATGTGCATGAGAGTTGGGGTAGACACTGTCACTGAAATGAAATTGGGCAAGACGACAAAGAATATGGTGGAAAGGAGAGATATTGAATTTGGACACATTATGTTTGAAGTTTCAATAGCCATGTATGTGGGGATGTCAGAATGGTAGCTGGACCTATGATATACAATGCAGGAGAGATGTGGGCTGCAGATAAAGATCTGGCAAGCAGCAGCATTTCAGTAACACTTGAAGCCAAAGCAGTGAAGGCAAGACTCAAAGAGAAGTGAAGTGACAGGAAGCAGAAAAGGGAGGAGCACAGAATGTGAGGAAAAACTGACACTCACTGATACAAGAAGTAAAGGAAATATTAGTGTAATGGTCCAAAGAGAATGAAAATTCAAAATTTCTTCCAAGGACTTGTAAAAGCTCAATGATAAGAAATCCATGAGTACAAATAATTTTAAAATTTCTTATAAATCCTAAGAAGTACCTTCATGTGTTTCATCATATTTGGAGCTCTATGGAGAAAAAATTCTAGAATCATCCACACAGGTAATGAGAAAAAGTTCTTAAAAAAATTCCATTTCTTGTAAAACAGATTCTCTAAGAAGTTCCTGCACATTCATTTTGGATCAGTGACATATTTTCTCTAGTCATAAAGATAGGCAATGTTGTAGTAAAGGCCATTCTGACAGGCTAATAGAAATAAGTGATGTGATACACACTTGAATGTGGAAGCACTTCAGAGGCTGGGAGTCACTAGTTATTATTATAACCACAATCAGGCTCTCACTGCCCCTGATATTCTAAGACACCCAGAAAAAGCATCATTTAGAACAGTTAATTCTCATAGATACTTATGGGATGGCTCTGTGGGCTTTTTAATAAATGGTGTGTGAAACATAGGCAGAATATAAAGTTAAAAGTCAATCCCAGTTCACATCAAGTGTATAACAACATGAAAACTATATGGAATGTGTGGTGTACAGTCTTGTATTTAAAGTCAATTCTATCTTAAACTCAATATCCAGAAGTTACATAAGCCCAAGCTGAAAAATTTGAATATACAAATGTCAAAACTTTTTAATATAAAGATTAAAGATATATGAAGAATGATTAAAAAAATTAAGTCACACTACCCCAGAAAATTCACTTTCCTAATAAAATTTGCCATCCAAATGAAAAAATAAGGAAAGAACTGGCATCAAAATGAGAAAATGGGGACTGGCACAGTAGCACACTGGGTTGATCCCCCACCTGTGGCGCTGGCATCCCATGTGGATGCCAGGTTCTACTCCTGGTTGCTCCTCTTCTAGTCCAGCTCTCTGCTGTGGCCCGGGAGAAAGCTCCTGGCTCCTGGCTTCAGATTGGCGTAGCTCCAGCCCTTGCAGCCATTTGGGGAGGGAACCAGCAGAGGGAGGACCTTTCTCTCTTATCTCTCACTATCTGTAACTCTACCTGTCAAATAAATAATCTTTAAAAAAAATGAGAAAATGTGTAACTATTATTGGTTATTCTCTGCTTTTCAAAATACCAGTCTTTTAAGTTACAAGAGGGGGGCGCAGCAGGTAAAGCTGCCACCTGCAGTGCCAGCATCCCATATGGGTGCCAGTTTGATTCCTGGTTGCTCCACTTCCAATACAGCTCTCTAAGGCTGGGAAAGCAGTGGAAGATGGTCCAGGTCCTTGTTTGGGCCCCTGCACCTGTGTGGGAGACCCAGAAGAAGCTCCTGGCTCCTGGTTTCAGATAAGTCCAGTTCTGGCCTTTGCAACCATTTGGGGAGTACACCTGTAGATAGAAGACTTCTCTCTCTTCTGTGCTTCTGCCTCTCTGTAACTCTGCCTTTCAAATAAATATTTAAATATATATATATGTATATATAAAAAGAATAAATTGTGACAAAAATGAAAAACACAAATTAAAATTACACTGCAATATACTGTTTTACCTAATATATTGGACAAAGTTTTATAAAATCTTTTTTTTCTAATCAATAGGTAAACATCATTTTACTGGTTCTAGTCTCAAAACATATCCCATATTGCATCAGTACTTAATACCATTGTAACTATGGTTTTACAAAACACCAGCTTCTAAACTGTTCCCAATACCGTCTCCAAGGAGAGAAAACCCAGAAAAGCTTTGGGAGGTCACAAGAAGATAGAAAAACAAAATTAGCTACCTGAAGGACTTCAACCCATGGCCATTTTTCATGTCATGCTATCTGAGAAATTCGGAAGATGTGTAGGGTAAGTTAAATCTAAAGTCAGAAGAAAAAAAAAAAAAAAACTTTAGGAGGACATAAATTCTGCCAGGATAAAGGGCACCATTAATATTAGATGAGAGAACTTGAGGTTCTATGTACTATCAGGTAGTATGACACACATGTAAATACAGACTTAATTAGTGGTAGACCAGAAAAATGTTCAATGAAATAAAAATTGAAAAACTCTACTATAAATTATAATATCACTGATCAGAAGCAGCTCAGGCTGCAATCAAAATCTGTATCAGAAAGAATGAACGTGTCCTGAAGAAAATTTGGCTATTATCCAGAACCTGGGCTGGGTTCTCTTAACCATTAGGTCTCACATTGTACAAATGTCTTAGGTCCCATGCATATACGGTTCTCACAGTGGCATTTGTGGTGGTGGCAGGCTTTTGCTCATGTGTAATCAACCCAATCTCTGGATATGCCGAAGACAAAAGATAGGATATGGTTGCTCAACCCTGTCTATGTAACCAAATTTCAAAAAGGACCATAAACACAGGCTTAGATTAGACTGTTAATATCCTGGGGGTACTGTCACACAATGTGATTGGGAGAAGTAGGTAATGATAATAAGATTCCAGTGAGGTAAATAACCACAAGATTATGCTGAAGGAATCATGGATCCTGCTCTATGCATCTAATTCCTTGACATATCATACTGGATTCTGTTATAGTAGTGAATTAGAATGTAAGCATGAAGGTTTTTCTGAATTTTTAAATTCCTTTGTGGCATCACTGAACATGAGATTCATGTTAGCGAAGTGAGGATGTTCTTGATATCAAAATAATCATGACTTTTGGGATATCCTCATTTCACCCAGCAAAAAAAGATACCAATTATACTATGGTTTATTATAATCAAATTTCAAAAAGTTACAGACAATGAAACAGGTAGAAATCTGAGAACATACAAATACTGGAAATGGTAAGTATGGGAACACAAATATTTTTCACTGTTATTTTGAAACTATTTAAAAAGTTATTTACCATTTGAACCAAGAAAATGAAAATGTATAAAAAAGACTTAATAGTATGTATGTAGGAATACAATGTATCATAGTATGACACAGAAGAGGGGAACAGAAAACTAGAACTATAGTACTATAAAGATACTATTTTATACATGAAGTATAATACTACTTGAAAACTGATCATAACTCAAAATGACTACTGAGAATCACAAAAAAATCTATTTAGAAAGTTAGAATAAGCCAATAAAGAAGACCACAGGCCATACAAAAACAGGAAATGATCTAAATCTGACAGGTAGGCCTATTTTTATTTTGTACAAAGTATTCCTATGCAATAAGTACCTGACTAGTACATTAAAAAATAAGATTGAAAACTATCTAAAGCAATAGTCCAGAGTAGAAAAACATGAAACTAAACAAATATAAACAGATAAAGTATAGAAGACAAGTTTTAATTAACAAGTCAAAAGTATCATGGTGAATACACATGATACTTAAAAGAATTAAAATTATAAAATCTGAACAAAATTTGTGGTATAACTCTGAGGACTAGAGAAATAAAAGGTAGAAATTCGATTGAGGGAACTCCTAATTGAAACTCAACCATTTAGGGCATTATACCAGAAGACACTTCTGTTTACACACAGATCAAGGAAGCAAAATGTTATAGAGGCAAGTTCATGGTTGAAAAGTCAACCAAAAATGAAGGAAGAAGACGACATGACCTGGGAAAGAGAAAGCTAAAGAACTCAAGTCCCTAAATTTGCACACAAAACGAGCCAAACTGATTGGCTGACTACATCATTACACATGTGTGGGATATCTCAGTGAACTCAATTTAAAAAAAAAAAAAAGTCAACCACTGGGAGCTGAGAAAAATAAACAGTTACTAATAACTGCAAAGAACAAAGTTTGAAATTTGAACCAAGTCAATTAACTGCCTTGTAAAACAGAACTTAATCTCCAAGAAAGATAACATTAATGATAATTTAAGCAATATGCTATTTTTAAAAAGATTTATTTATATGAAAGTCAGAATTACACAGAGAGGAGAGGCAGAGAGAGAGAGAGGGAGGGAGAGAGAGAGAGAGGGAGGGAGGGAGGGAGGGAGGGAGGGAGGGAGAGGGAGGGAGGGAGGGAGGCAGAGAGAGAGAGAGAGGTCTTCCATCCAATGGTTCACTCCCCAATTGGCTGCAATGGCCAGAGCTGCGTCAATCCAAAGCCAGGAGCCAGGAGCTTCTCCGCGTCTCCCACATGGATGCAGGGGCCCAAGGACTTGGGCCATCTTCTGCTGCTTTCCCAGGCCATAGCAGAGAGCTAGATTGGAACTGGAGCAGCCAGGTCTCGAACCGGCATCCACATGGGATGCCGGTGCTTCAGGCTAGGGCATTAATCCACTGCACCACAGCACCGGCCCCAAAATATGTTATTTTCAATACTTAAGTTAAAATTCAGAATCGTTACACATGTAAAGAAAAGAAAATTTGACTCACTGGAAGAAATCTGTGTTAAGTCAACTGTTGCAAGTGGCAGTAAGATGACTAAACAATGTCTAAATATCTTGGAATATGTAAAGGACAACATAAAATGATATAAAGAATGACAGATACAGATTACAAGTAGAAAAGTAAACTAGAAAGCTTCAGAAACACATGAAACTATTTAGAAAGGAATAAACATACATGGGTGCTTCAACATAATTTGGGGGCCAACACTGTGGTGTAGTGGGTTAAGCCACCATCTGCAGTGTCAGCATCCCATATGGGCACTGTTTCAAGTCCCAGCTACTCCACTTCCAATCCACCTCCCTGCTGCTGTGCCTGGGAAAGCAGCAAAACATTGTTCAAGTCTTTCAATTTCTGTACCCACAAGGGAGACTAGGAAGAAGCTCTTGTCTCCTACCTTCGTATTGGCCCAACTTTGGCCATTGTGGAGTAAACCAGAGGATGAAACATTCATTCTCACTCTCACTCTTTCAAACTGGAAAAAAAACGGGGGGGCAGGCCAGCGCTGTGGCATAGTAGTCTAAGCCTTTGCCTGCAGAGCTGCCATCCCATATGGGCACCGATTGTATACTGGCTGCTCCTCTTCTGATCTAGCTCTCTGCCAATGGCCTGGGAAAGCAGTTGGTTGGAAAATAGCCCAAGTACCTGGGTTCCTGCACCAGTGTGGGAGACCCAGAACTAGCTCCTGGCTCCTAGCTTTAGATCAGCACAGCTCAGGCCATTGTGGCCATCTGGGGAGTGAACAGCAGATCGAAAACCTCTCTATCTCTCCCTCCATCTGTAACTTGCAAATAAATAAAATCTTTAAAAATTTAAGTTTTACAGCTATAAAATACAGTTAAATGTAGGCTAAACAACACATTGGAAAAGGACAAAAAAACTTGAACTTGAAATATGGTAGGACTTTAATTTACTCCCAAAATGCATGTGTTAGAAACTTAATCCCCAAGGCAACAGTTCCTGTCTTTAGGAATGAGTTAACACAACTGTAAAAAACTTAAGGCTATGAATTCCACTCTTGCTTTCTCTCATCCTGTGATGTCATCTACTATGTTATGATATAGAATAATGGCACTTTCCAGACAACATGGCCTGACTTTAGACTTCTCAGCCTTCAGACTCTAAATAATTGATTTGAAGCATGCAAGTGGGGACAGGTTATACACCACTAATAAATCCAACAGCACAGATCAGAGTGCTGATTTGAGTCCTGGACATTCAGCTTCAAATTCAGCTTCCTGTTATGCATCTGGGAAAGCAGTGGATAATGGCCCAACTACTTGGGATTTTGATGCCCATGTGGAACATCCAGATAGGATTCCTGATTCTTGGCTTTTCTTGCCCTCAATTAGTTGTTTCAGGCATTTGCTGAGTGAAACAGTGGGTGGAAGATTTGTGTGTGTGTGTGTGTGTGTGTGTGCCTTTCCCACTCTATTGCTCTACTAAGGAAATAAGTGAATCCTGAAAATGTTTTCCTTCTTAAATTACCAATTGTGTAATATTTTTTCAGCAATATAAAACAGACTATGCCACAAAATAGATCAACAGATTTTTCTAACATAAAAGAGAAAAGACATAAGCTTCAGAAACACATGAAACAATTTAGAAAGGAATGTAACATACCTGGGTGCTTCAAAAGGACTATACAAAAGTGGAATTAAAGCAAGTTCACTTTAGTAAACAAAAAATGTGAAACACATAAATAGGTTTTTATAAAAAACTACCATTTCTATGACATTTATACTTGGTATTTTTATAACATGCATTTTCAATGAACTTTTAAACCAGTTTTATACATGAACTACAAAATTTGGTGTACAAAAAAAAAAAAACTTTCACAATCTTTTTATGTACTCTCATAAGTGCAACTGAAGTTTCACAAGGAAAAAAAGAAATGAAATATAAAATGAAACACCCCAAATTTTTAGATTTGCTAGGATTGAGATGCCATCTGTATCTACAAAAAGTATTCAACAGGGAGTAGAAAAGCTGTGGAGGGGACCCTACTGGAAGGAAGCAGGTGTGTCAGCCCACAGAGGTTAGATCTGTTGAGAATTGCAAGGAGGAATGAATGGGACAACAAATGCAATGCCTGAGTGGGTGACATAAAGGAGAAAAAATCTGAATTCAAGTAGAATGACAAGAAATCATCAGTGAGATAATATAGGAAGAATTTTATTTTAGGAGAAGACCATGTAGTTAAACATATGGCAAAATAAAAGGTGGGGTAGATTATTAGCCTTGTGTTTACGATACCATTGAAGATGCCCTAATCTGGGGGCCAACACCATAGCATATTAGGTTAAAGTATAATGTTTTCTACTTGCATCCATTCTGTTGAAAACAAGAACATTTCATTTTTTTAAATGTTGTATACTATTCCATGGTGTACATATACCATAATTTCTTAATCCAGTCTTCAACTGATGGGGATCTGGGTTGATTTCATATCTTAACTATTGTGAATTGAGCTGCAATAAACATGAGGGTACAGATAACTCTTTTATATGATGATTTCATTTTCTTTGGGTATATTCCCAGAAGTTGAATGGATGTGTCATACCGTAGGTCTATTTTCAGATTTCTGAGGTATCTATCACCATGCTGTCTTCCACAGTGGCTGGACCAGTTTACATTCACACCAACAGTGGATCAGCATATCTTTTTCCCCACATCCTTGCCAGCAGTTGTTCTTTGTTGATTTTGGTATGAAAGCAATTCTAACTGGAGTGAGGTAAAGTATCATGTGGTTTTGGTTTGCATTTCCCTGATGGCTAGTAATCATGAGCATTATTGATGTGTCTGTACATCATTAGGATACCCTGTTGAAAAATATTTTCCAAGAAATCTGACTACAATGGAATGAAGCTGGAAATCAACAACTCAAGAATTTCTAGAACATAGGCAAACACATGGAGACTGAATAATATGCTCCTGAATGAATAGTGGGTCATAGAAGAAATAAAAAGAGACATAAACATTTCTGAAAATAAATGAAGAGGACAATATAACATATTAAAACTTAAAAGATACAGCAAAAGCAGTGTTAAGAGGGAATTTTATCGCAGTTGGTGCCTACATCAAAAATTGGAAAGACACTAAATAAATGAGCTATCAGTGCATCTCAAGGATCAAGAAAAACAAGAAACCAAATCCAAAATTAGTAGGAGAAAAGAAATAATTAAACGTGGAGAATAAACAAAGTTGGAACAAAAAAAAAATAAAAGATCAACAAAACAAAGAGCTGTTTTTTTAAAAAAACAAAGAAAATTGATAACACTATTGGCTAACAACGTCAACAAAAAAGATGGAGAAGACTCAAATCAATAACACCACAGATGAAGGAAATGTATTAACAGATACACAGAAATAAAAAGAACCATTAGGAATTACTACAAAGAGCTGTATGCCAACAAATTGAGAAACTAGAAGAAATTGATAGATTCCTGGACCGCTGAAAAGGGCTTCTAATGCCATCTGTCTTTCAATGCCTTCAGGAATTCCTAAGACCCATATGTTGGGCCATTTGATAGTATCCCATAAACCTCCAACATTATTTTTAATTTTTCTAACTTCTTTTTTTGGGAGGGGGTGTCTAAAATTTCCAGAGATTTTCTTCTAACTTGAATATTCTTTCTTCTGTCTCACTGGGTCTGTTGTTAAGGCTTTCCATCACATTTTTTTATTTTTTCTCTTGAATTTCATTTCCATAATTGCATTTTGATTTCTCTTGACAACCTCAATTTCATGGGAAAAATTGTTACTCATGTCATTATGGATTGTTTTAATTCACAGATTTGCTTCTGTTTACTCCTGTGTAATCCTATGATTAATTTTTTGAATTCTGTTTCCAGCATTTCTTCAATCTCTTCATCTTCACATTCTACAACTGAAGTGTTGTTCTGTTCCTTTGGGGGTGTCATGTTGTCCTCCTTATTCTGTTACTTGAATTTCTGCAGTTATCTGTAGGCATTTGTGGAGATACTCGTGTTTTTTTTTTTTTTTTTTCTCCCCTCTCATGGCATTATCTTTGTTTTTTTTTTCTTTTTTTTCTTTTTTTTTACTTTTATTTAATGAATATAAATTTCCAAAGTACAGAATATTGATTACAATGGCTTCCCCCCCATAACGTCCCTCCAACCCGCAACCCTCCCCTTTTCCACTCCCTCTCCCCTTCCATTCACATCAAGATTCATTTTCAATTCTCTTTATATACAGAAGATCAGTTTAGCATACATTAAGTAAAGATTTCAAAGTTTGTTCCCACATAGAAACATAAAGTGAAAAATACTGTTTGAGTACTAGTTATAGCATTAAATCTCAATGTACAGCACACTAAGGACAAAGATCCTACATGAGGAGTAAGTGCACAGTGACTCCTGTTGTTGACTTAACAAATTGACACTCTTGTTTATGGCATCAGTAATCAACCTAGGCTCTTGTCATGAGCTGCCAAGGCTATGGAAGCCCCCTGAGTTCACTGACTCTGATCATATTTAGACAAGGCCATGGTCAAAGTGGAAGTTCTCTCCTCCCTTCAGAGAAAGGTACCTCCTTCTTTGATGACCCATTCTTTCCACTGGGATCTCACTCACGGAGATCTTTCATTTAGGTTTTGGTGTTTTTTTGGTTTTTTTTTTTTTTTTTTTTTTTTTCCCCAGAGTGTCTTGGCTTTCCATGCCTGAAATACTCTCATGGGTTTTTCAGCTGGATCCGCATGCCTTAAGGGCTGATTCTGAGGCCAGAGTGCTGTTTAGGACATCTGCCATTCTATGGGTCTGTTGTGTATCTCACTTCCCATGTTGGATCATTCTCTCCCTTTTTTATTCTATCGGTTAGTGTTAGCAGGTACTAGACTTGTTTATGTGCTCCCTTTGACTCTTAGTCCTTTCATTATGATCAATTGTGAACAGAAATTGATCACTGGGACTAGTGAGATGGCATTGGTACATGCCACCTTGATGGGATTGAATTGGAATCCCCTGGTATGTTTCTAACTCCACCATTTGAGGTAAGTCAGCTTGAGCATGTCCCGAATTGCACATCTCTTCCCTCTCTTATTCCCTCTCTTATACTTAACAGTGATCACTTTTCAGTTAAGTTTCAGCACTTAAGAAGAATTGTGTATTCATTACAATATTCAACCAAAAGTATTAAGTAGAACAAACAAAAAAAAAATACTAAGAGGGATAACATATCAAGTTGCTCATCAACAGTCAGGGTGAGGGCTGATCAAGTCACCGCTTCTCATAGTGTTCATTTCACTTTAACAGTTTCCTTTTTGGTGCTCAGTTGTCACCTTTCAAGGAGAACAAGTGGTATTTGCCCCTTTGGGATTGGCTTATTTCACTCAGCATAATGTTTTCCAAATTCCTAACAGGGATCACTTTTCATTTAAAATTTAAATACCTAAGAATAATTGTGTGTTAATTACAGAGTTCAACCAATTATCTTTGGATAATACCTCATAATAGAGTGCTCCTTCAGTGTGCTAGGTGTGCCCAGAGAGCTCTGTTCAATGCTCCAGGGTCAGAGGAGTATTTAAGATGACACCCAAGTTGAGCATGGTAGATATCTTTTTATCAGAGGGGAGGATTTGATGAGCTCTGTTGGCACAGTCTCAACCTCAACTCCTCTCCTCCAAATCGAGCAATGTCCAGGCACTAGCCCCAGTGGGTGTAATATTCATCCACACTGCCACAAGGACCACACAAAGGATATGTAGAGTCCTCAGTGTGAGCATGGATCCTGCAACAATGACCTACCCCAGGCAATCAGGGATCCCTGAGAATACAGAATTGCCAACAGCAACTGTCCAGGGACCCAGCATCCCACACAGAGTGTTTCCACAGTCCCAATACACAAGGCTCTGAAAGTCACAGTCACCAAGGATCCACTCTGCCCTACCATTCTATCTTGTCCACAGAGAGGCGGAGATGCTCCCATAGCTAGCTGCCTGTAGGTATTCCACCCAGGCAGCCCAAGCCCCAGAGACTGTGACATGCTGGGAGGCCGGGGACACCTCACAGTCCTATGTAGGCACCCAGGCCCCTGTCAATCCTCCCAGCCAGACTCAGGAGTCTCTTCTTTGCTGTTTGCTGGGTGTGTGCAGCTCTTACGTATTTCCAAAATGGTGTCTGACCTCTCTCAGCTAGTTGTAGGATGCCATTATGGGGGGTTGGGAAGAGAGAAACATGTCTATTTTTCTCTAGATTGGCCCATACACTGTTCCGCACAGAGCTTCAGGCTGTATTCAGACAGTTCTCCCCAGAGCTTTATCACCAGTAATGGGCTGCTGCAGTCTGTTCTCACTTCCCTCTCCAAAGCTGGTGCTGAGGCTCTTGGCTGCTTAGAGCCTGTGCTGTGTGTCCATGCTCATGCTGCAAGTCACAGCCTCCACATAGATTCACAGCATTCCTCTAACATCCACGGAGTTTCCACTGCAGTTTTATCCCTAACTCTTCCCTGAGATTGTACTCTCTCCACTTTTTTTTTTTTTTTTTTAAGCTATCTTCCTCTAGACTAGAGCAGTTAGTGCCATCCCTATTCTGCCTTCTTGGAATCTCCTTCTAATTCTTATAACCATGACAACTTTACTTTATATGTTTGCCTATATATATTCAGACATTGAATTATATTTACTTTTACTTTACCATTTTACTTAACAAAACCTCATAAACCTACAAAAATATAATGTAACACATGCTAATAAGTAAATAAATAAATAAAACTTACTGGAGATGTATTCATTTTTCTTTGATCTTAGAAACATGTAGAGGTCTCTAAAATTACACCTGGAAGAGAAGGTGAATGGAGGGAGTAGTGAAAACTGATCTGGCTTGTGCCTAGATTCCAATGTGCTAAGTAAAATCAAGACAGGAATGATTATAGAATGATAAGCACATTAGTTGGAAAAAAAGCTTTACACATGAGAAGGGGTAGGAAAGTCTTCCTTAAAAGAGCACAGGCAATTCCATGAATCTGCAAAAACTAAACACAACTTACCACTGGATTAATGAAAACATTTATTTGCTGCTTATTTTGTAAAAAAGGTATTTTACTTCAATTTTAAGCACAATTGTTCAAGTAAATTACCATACATCAAAGAAAGAAAGACCATGTTGTCATTAAAATCTATACAACAGAAAAATAATTGGGAGACATTAACTATTCTATTAATACAGATATAATACATAGGACTCTATTAGTATTTTCACTAAATCATCTGACTTTTATATACCTAAAATTCCATAGAAAGTATATATCTTATGATCTGAAATTTTTGCTCACAATTTATAGGAAACATAATACATTTTATATAGAAGGCACACTCAGTCTTACCTCTCACTTCTAAATAACACAAACACAAATCTCACAAAACATTTCTGCTTATGTTTTTATCCTCCTCCAATTATGCCACAGTCCCAGCTCAATAGACCACCTGGGTTGATACCAAAGCCCATCTCTGCTAAAACAGAAAACATTTGCAGATGTAGCAAAAACTGTCTTCAAAAATTGTCCCACAGCACAAGCAGACCAGATTATTAGACATTTCAAGGCTTGTATGTCAAGTATTACATAATTCCCGCATCTCAGAACCAGATACTTGGCCCAGTAACCAATATGCGACTCCTAGACAAGGTCCATATTTGCACTACAAGGGCCCTATTTCAGGGCAACATTATACTGAGGGACTTTCTTCCTGAGCTTTGTGCTCTAATGATCAAGATTACTGGCCCTTCAGAACACCAGGATCACTGAGTTAATCACTACATTTCCCCCTGGGCTAACAGCAAATTCACACAACCTATCTTGTTCATAGGCACCCATTCTCTTTGTGCCAACTCTATGCCCATCTCTCAGTTCTATAAGTGCCATCCCTCCACATGCATGGATCCTTACCCTAGGAACATACCTTGGAAACTAAAACAAAATGTCTGCTTCCAAATGCATATAAAAATTCTATTGACCCCCTTCTGTACTGTCTGGGAAGGGAGTCACAGGGCATTGTTCTTGATTCCCAGTGTAACTTAAAGGGAAGCTGTCACAATGCCCAGAACCTTTGATGTCCTGCAAATGAAGGAGGAGGATGTCCTCAAATTCCTTGCAGCAGGAAGGAATTTGGCAAATAATAATAATAATAATAGGTGGCAAATGCAACAGTGCATCTACAAAAGAAAAAGTGATTTACTGACATGGATTTATTGAACTGAGTACTGAAAGGAGGACAAGAGTCATTAGCCGGCGCCGTGGCTCAATAGGCTAATCCTCCACCTTGCGGCGCCGGCACACCGGGTTCTAGTCCCGGTTGGGGCGCCGGATTCTGTCCCGGTTGCCCCTCTTCCAGGCCAGCTCTCTGCTATGGCCAGGGAGTGCAGTGGAGGATGGCCCAGGTGCTTGGGCCCTGCACCCCATGGGAGACCAGGAAAAGCACCTGGCTCCTGGCTCCTGCCAGGATCAGCGCGGTGCGCCGGCTGCAGCGGCGGCCATTGGAGGGTGAACCAGCGGCAAAGGAAGACCTTTCTCTCTCTGTCTCTCTCTCTCACTGTCCACTCTGCCTGTCGAAAAAAAAAAAAAAAAAAGAATATAACCTCCCAGTACCAGGGAGTCATCTACATCATAAATGTGAAGAGGTCCTGGGAGAAACTTGTGTTGGCAGCTTATGCTATTCTTGCCATTGAAAACTGCTGGTAGGTGGGCGCTGTGGCTCAACAGGCTAATCCTCTGCCTGGCGGCGCTGGCACACCAGGTTCTATTCCCAGTCAGGGCGCCGGATTCTGTCCCAGTTGCCCCTATTCCAGGCCAGCTCTCTGCTGTGGCCCAGGAGTGCAATGGAGGACAGCACAAGTACTTGGGCCCTGCACCACAAGGGAGACCAGAAGCACCTGGCTCCTGCCATTGGATCAGCGCGGTGAGCCGGCCGCAGCGCGCCAGCCGCGGTGGCCATTGGAGGGTGAACCAACGGCAAAGGAAGACCTTTCTCCCTGTTTCTCTCTCTCACTGTCCACTCTGCCTGTCAAAAAAAAAAAAAAAAAAAAAAAAAAAAAAAAAAAAAAAAAAAAAAAAAAAAACTCTGCTGTGGCCAACACTGTGGCGTAATAGGTTAAGCCTTTGCCTGTGGCGCCAGCATCCCTGATGGACTCTGGTTGGACTCCCAGCTGCTCCTATTCTGATCCAGCTCTCTGCTAATTGTCTAGAAAAGCAGCGGAAGATGGCCCAAGTGCTTGGGTTCCTGTGCCAACATGGGAAACCTGGAAGAAGCTGCTGGTTCCTGGCTTCAGATCAGTTCAGCTAGCCATTGCAGTCATTTAGGGAGTGAAGCAACAGATGGAAGATCTCTGTTTCTCTGTCTGTAACTCTGCCTGTCAAATAAAGAAATCTTTAAAAGAAAAAAGAAAAAAAAAAAAAGGAAACCCTTCTCCTGTCAGTGTGATATTCGTGATATCCCCCAAGAACACTGGCCAGAGAGATGTGAAGTTTATTGCTGCCACTGGAGCCACTCCTATTGCTTGTTTCACACCCAGACCCAAGCAGCCTTCCAGGCGCCACATCTTCTGGTGGTTACTGATCCCAGGGTGTCACAAGCCTCTTACAGAGGCATCTTACGTGAACTTGCCTACCACTGCTCTACATAATGCCAACTCTCCTCTCTTCTATATGGACACTGCCATCCTATGCAATAAGGAGCCCACTCAGTGGGTCTTAGGAGGTGGATGCTGGCCTGAGAAGTTCTGCACATGTGTGATACAATCTCCCACGAACACCCATGGGAAATCATACCTGATCTCTACTTCTCCAGATTCTGAAGACACTGAAAAAGAAGAGCAGGCCACCACTGAAATGCTGTGACCAAGGGAGAATTTCAGGGTAGATGTACTGTCCCAGCTCCTGAGTTTACTGCTACTCAACCTGAGGTTGCAGACGGATCTGATGGTGTGCAGGTACCTTCTGTGCCTATTCAAGAGTTCCCTACTGAAGACTGGAGTGCTCGCCCACCACTGAGACTGGGCCGCAGCTCCCTATGCTCAGGATACCAAAGTGGTCTTAAGCTGCTCTTCCCAGTCTCTGAAGCAAAAATGGAAATGAGGTTGATGGACAATAAGCACTAGTTCCTAAAAAAAAAAAAAAAAAATTTCTACAGACCGGTTCTTATAGTTACCCACAAACACTTTATTCTTTATGAAAATAAAACACCAGTAGTAATCCAAATTAACCCTAACAACTCACTACAACCCCTCACGGATGCCCCACTGGAAGATACACTAAATATCTAGGAGAATGAACCAACACCAGGAGGCACTTATATTTACCAACATCTGTTTTCCCTCCATCTGACAGCTTGCTTATATAAACAGAATTGTGTGTGTGTGTGTGTGTGTGTGTGTGAGAACAACACTTAACTCTGCAGCTCCAACTAAGTAGCCTGGAATTTGTACTCTTATCTTTCTGTCTCCCAATGTTAGTGTAGCTTTCAATATAACCAATTTCTACAGGCTTCTCTAACCACAAATATTCACCACAAAATAGCTGCCACCCTAATACAACTGTTAGCCAGCTTAAAAATTGCCATTAGGTTGGCCATGGGGGTAGGAGTGTGAGGAAATAGTTGATATTTGGAAAGGCAGATTTAGGGAGATAGGGAACAAATAATTAGTTTCTATGGTGGCACCAGCCAGGAGCTGCAAGATATATGCACATGCCTGTATCTAGCTAATGTTAACTATTTTCTACTGAGTAATTCAAAACAAGTCCCTAAGAAAGTAAAAGGATATGCAAAGGGAAAGAGAAGACTAGGGGCCGGTGAAATGGCTCACTTGGTTAATCCTCCGTCTGTAGGCGCCCGGTTCTAGTCCCGGTTGCTCCTCTTCCAGCCCAGCTCTCTGCTGTGGCCCGGGAGGGCAGTGGAGGATGACCCAAGTGCTTGGGCCCCTGCACCCGCATGGAAGACCAGGAAGGAGCACCTGGCTCTTGGCTTCGGATAGGTGCAGCACCAGCCATAGTGGCCATTTGGGGAGTGAACCAACGGAATGAAGACCTTTTTCTCTGTCTCTCTCTCTCACTGTCTGTAACTCTACCTGTCAAATAAATTAAAAAAAAAAAAAAAGAAAAGATAATACAATAGGGAAACAATGGGTCCTATAATTAACTGCCAGATCCTGACTTTACCCCACAAGAACATATGAATGCAAAGAATAAGGAAGTGGTTATATCTGATCTAATAGCCATGACTACTTTCCAAAACGTATGTAAGGATTAACAGTCCCCCTGACACCAGAGCAACCAAATAGCAGGAAGTAACTTGTTTTTTGTCCCCTATATAAACACCCATACCCTATTCTTTCTGGAATTCTCCATTCCCCTTCTGATTAACAAGAGTTTCTCACTATTAAGAAACTTTTTATTAAGCTGTCTTCTCTCCTGTTCATTAACCTCATACTTTGTCATGGAGCAAACACACTCCCAGAGTTTGGGGGTGGATGCAACAGGAAAACTTGCTACATTCCTCTCCTACTATCAGACCCTTTCTAAAGATATTCAAGACAGCTTAGATGAATATTTCAAGGCCTTTTTAAGGTTAAAGACCAAGTTGACTCCTTGGCAACAATATCAATCGAGGCTTGTTTGTGATGCTGCTCACAAGCTGACGGGGCACCCAAAGTTTGACAATGGACATCTGGTTACCACAGCTTGCACCACTTCTCACACTCTCAAAACATTTTTTTTTTTTTTTGTCTCTAGGGTCATGCCTCTTTCAGTTACTGGAAACCTCACTCAAACTTATATCCATAGCATC